CCCCTTGGTGACATCATCCGCAGACATGGGGTTAACTTCCATATGTATGCGGATGACACCCAACCCTATCTTTCTGCCTCCACCCTGAACTCCAGGACCACTGCTGTCCTGACAGACTGTCTGTCGGACATCAAGTCCTGGATGAGGGCAAATTTCCTACAGTTGAATGTGAACAAGACTGAGGCCCTCCTGATTGGTTCGCACCAGCGCCTCTGCACCTCAGCCTCTGGCAACATCAACCTCCATAGTTGCACATTACAACTCACCAGTCAGGAACCTCAGTGTCTTGTTCAACTCTCAACTGTCTTTTCTTCCCCACATTCAAGCCATGGTCCCTGTGATTGTCTCACCGGAGCGTTGCGTTTGCTGCTTTAAGTTCAGTAAGTCTTCATGTAGTGAAAGGACCTCTTCACTCTCCACATGATCAGGCATCCCTCACCCCCTCCGTATGACAAGATGACGCTGTTTCTTCTCTCAGTCCCTCCCCCCCACCCCCCTGCCACGCGTGATGGCATTGAGGTTATGCCCCGGAAAGGAAGGTGCAGAGAGCGATGGGGTGCTCATGTGCGGTGTTCAGTTGGAGGAAATTAAGTTTTGATCCAGCAGCCGGTTAGTGAGGTAGTGGTAAATTCAGTAGCGGGATTACGAGTTGCGTGATTTTCCATATGGCTAGTGCAGATAAATTTAAGTGGATTTAATAGGAAACTCAAAGGCACTTGGGCAGATGTAATAATAATGATAATAATAATCCTTGCATTTGATATAGCGCTTTTCATCTTTTCTAGATGTCTCAAAGCTCTTCACAGAATATACTATAAAGTGAAGCGACTATATTTGTGGGCAAAACTCAGCAGCCAATTGCGCACAGCAATGTCCCACAAACAGTCGTGGATTGAAATGACCAATTTTTTTTNGAAGGATTATTATCAGGCGTGTGAGTAAGGAAACTTGCGACTTAAGACGAGCATACAATGCATACAAATCCGAATTCTGCGCGTTTTCCCGTACTAAATAATCCCAAAATACCAGTGTTCTGTCTTTTAAAGATTTAAATCCAAGAAAGGACACAGCATTTGTGAAGATAAAAATTAGTTTTAATAATAAATCCAGACATCATTACAAAGTTGTTCTTTAAAATACATTGTGCAAAAATTGCATATCCTATATTAAAATACTACGTAAACAGAATATGTTAATACATACAGTGTAATTAAGGAGAACTTTTAGCAGCATAGGTAGAATATGTTTCTATGGCATTTCTTTGTTGAAATACCCATTACTCTATTCAGGAAAAGCAACAATTTGTCTGTATTATTGTTGCATGTATCACCATGATTTCAATACATTCTTTTGAATGTTCTGAAGCGATTCAGGCTAGCGAGCATAGTACTCACCGCGCAAGAGAGAGAATCTGGGTTCAATTCCCGGCAGGGTGAAACGTTGGGCAAGTTTCCTTACTCCACACGCCTCTGTTTACCTAGCAATAAGCAGGAATCTGGTTGTTAGTCGATTGGTGGATTGCTTTTCTGGGGTTAATAATCCCTTCAAAAAAAAATTGGTCACTTCAATCCACAACTGTTTGAACACTACTGTGCACAATTGGCTGTCGCGTTTCACCCACAAAATATACAATCAAGTCACTTTACAACAACAACTTGCACTTATAAAGCGCCCTGCACGCAGGGTAGCAGCTCAGGTCACTTAACAGTGGCTGGCTCCGAGCCGGGGGGGGGGGGGAGAGGTGCTTGTAAGCACAGTTGAACAGGAAAGTTTTCAGGCGGGACTTGAAAAAGGGGAGGGGAGCAAGTTGGAGGGATTCAGGGAGAGTGTTCCAGAGTTTCGGGGCATAGCGGCTGAAAGCATAATTTTGGATGGTGCGATGGTGCAGCAGAGGGTGCAAGGGTCAAGCAGGAGGCCGGTGCCAGTCGAGCGGAGGCGCCAGGTGGAGCATTGGGGAGTGAGGAAATCGGAGAGGGAGGAAGGTGCCAGAGAGTGAAGGAATTTGAACACAAGAGTGAGGATCTTGAAGTCGATCCATTCGGTGATGGAGAACCAGTGGAGCCTGGCCAGAACTGCTGAGATGTGGTTATGGAGTTTGGTTCGGGTCACTATGCAGGCGGCAGAGTTCTGAATTACCTGGATCTTTTAAATAATGAAGCTGGGGAGACCGGCGAGGAGTGAATCATAGAATCATCATAGAATTATACAGCACAGAAGGAGGCCATTTGGCCCATCATGCCTGTGCCGGCTCTTTGAAAAGAGTTTCCAATTCAATCCCAATCCCCACTTTCTCCCCATTAGCCTGCAAACCTGTCCTCCCCAAATAATTATCTGCTTTTTCTTAAACGTTGTTCTTGAATCGGCTTCCGAGGGTCTTGAAGAGGGAGTGGAGGGAGAGGTGTGACCGAAGTGGACCTGCAACAATGTGTTGGCAAGTAAGGGTAGGTTGGAAATGGAATGGTAGTGCGAGAGAATAGAGGAATCGAGGATAGGTTTTTTGAGATTATCACACTGGTTGCACTTTACAGTATGTTCTGTGAAGCGCTTTGAGACGTCGCGAGGATGTGATAAGGCGATAAACACGAAGATTATTATTATTATACCTGGTTTGAACATCACACAAACTACGGGAGATCAATGGCATTTTGTATTACATAATCATGAACTATTTCAAGTGCGGTAGTGTAAATATTGCTAGGAAACTAAAGTGCCAAGACATTCGCACTTAAATTACAAACATGCTGATCTTATTTGACATCCAGTCGACCATTTCACTGGCTTGTGCACAAGCTACTTTGTAAATGTCAGTAATTGTTCACATTATAATAAAAACAGTCTAAAGGAGTTGTAGCAGAAAGTAGGCCACGTCTGTGCATTCTTACTGCAAGCAATTCTGTTCTCAAAAAGTAAATGGAGAGGAAACCAAATCAAAATCGGATGCTCCTTGATTGATGTTATGCTTGAACGTAACTGAAGATCTGATTGAATAGACTTTGATTTTTGACCTACACTAATTACAAAATCTAACCTCCATCAAACATTACCGATAAATACAGCAGCTTGCTTAATATTAATCATTTATTACACTGTGGTAAGGTCTCTCATCTGTGAAAGCCTCAGTTAGAACTATTATTATAGCTAGTAATATTAAAGCACTTCATTATATTGTGTTACAGGAGGAGAATTTTTCTCCTTCCAATTCAACCTGAAAAGTGACAAGGATTTAAGTGAATTGATAAGATAGGTCAGCAATTCATCACTGCCTTTGATTTATTTGTGTTGCCATTGCGTATTTGCAGTTCCAAGTTTAGGTTGTGTGATTGACTTTTAGGATGCTGCTCCAAACAGGACTTGTGCTGTAATGAACCAGCATTTGGAATATGTAATTAACGCTACACATTTTCACTCCCAATATTGCATACTTTCACCAGAAGTTAAATGGTCAGTCTATTTGGACGTTAGTATGGTTATCCTTAAGAACAATTTAAACATGGATTAATATTTGTTAGGTCAGGGTATTAAGGGATACGGGGCAAGGGCAGAAAATTGGACTTGAGGTACAGATCACCCATGATCTTAAAGAACGGGCTCGAGGGGCTGAATGGCCTATGCCTGTTTCTATGTAATAGTTGGGTAGCTTTTCAAAAACACAATAAATAGAAAATGCAAACGCAGCATTTTTCATACCAATTTAGTTCTACCTGGTGAAAAATGGGCCGTTAGAAATTGATTGAGGTTGTCCACACTCAAATAGTTTAGAAACCCTACAATCGGCAGAGATAGGTTTGCATCCCACAAGGAGTAGAAGTTGTAACCAAACTTAAATCCAAGAGGTAAACATATAGTGCCGCAGTCTACAAGTCTGCCAAGTGTGACTGTATAGTACAATATCAAAACCAGAGCTAACTTCAGTACAAATTAGTACCTATAGTTCTTCAACCTTCCTCTCTTCTTATCCTAGCTCAGCATTCAATCCTAGCACTGTGAAGCGCACCAGAGACATTATCCCAAGTGATGGGCTCTATATAAATGCAAGTTGTTGTTGTTGTAGGCACTAAACTGAACATTCAACTCACCCCCATGATGAAGAAAAGCTCTTGAATATTAGTAATAATAATCCTTGCATTTGATATAGCACCTCATCACATCATTGAGATGTCCCAAAATGCTTCACAGGAAGGATTTTTACAGGAAGTGTATTTTGTGGGCATTAAACTTCAAAAACCTTACATTAATTCAGTGGTGAAAACATCACCCATCCTCTCTCTCTCTCCTACCCCCATCCTATCTTTCCACTGTTGAAATAAGGATTTACTATGTCCCAACCATACATTAATGTTTTGATCCCAAATGAATGATATAAAATTATTTTCATCCATTTAAACCTCGTATTAAATAAGCAGCCTAATGAGGAAACAAACCTCCTGTGCATGAGAAAAGATTACTAGTTCCAAATTGCATTCAGCTACCAGCAAGAGGGCAGTTATATTCCCACTGCAACATCACACAGCGGCAGAAGTCGCTCTACAAGAGCAGGCAGGTGCACAGTGTCATTTAATGCTTTCACCACTTGTAAGAAATCTTAAGATTTCATTTGATCTGGTCAGGAATCCAGTTCTTTTAGTACTGCAGAAAACATTCAATAATATTCCCACTGATGCTCGCTTTCTGGATCACAACATTGTTTGGAAGTGTTTAAGGAACGGTCACATAGTAACATTCACAGATGAAATTAAAAAAGAAAAAATTGAGGGGGTTGGGGATGGAGCAGAGAGTTGGATCAGTCGGGAGTCTGGCACAGGTGGAAACCCATCACCACATTTAAGAGTATTCAAACCAGACAGAGATCCACAAATGCCACCTGAGTGTGAAAATGTCCCTACATCTTCAACGGAATGTATACTTTCTCCCTGAAGGGATGCATCCCACTTACCTAATCCTGGAGTGTATGAGGCACAGGTTGGCAAGACCCAAGCCTTGGAAACTCCAGAATGCGTGTTGGGGTAATTGCTGGAGTTTAAGCGGCTAAAACTCCATAGCTTGTCATTTCAATCACTGATGAGCTTTCCCAATGCTTGTCCAAGTAGGACCACCCAAGCCATCAGGGTTTTCACTTACAGGACTAACAGGAGCTGAGTCCACTCCTGCCCACCACTAAGATGATCTGCCTCTTGAAGTCCTGCAGATGAGCCAGGCAGGGCTGTGCTGTCATCAGCCGTGCCCCGGAATTCTGCAGACTAGAGACCATCACAGGGGTGATTCTGATAAGGCAAGTCCAGTTCTGAGAAGACCCCGCTTACCTTCTCCCCTCCCCCCCACTCACTCCCCATTGTTCTCGTTGAATAGAAATAAATTATTGAGCCCAGCAACATTAGTGTTTAAACACCATTTTCCAAAACATTTCCGTGGTGAAGTTTTGATTGCGGTCCACTAAGCTTCTCAAAGCTGTGGCTTCTCTTCTGGACTGCTGGAAACTCGGTACCCAGAGGTCTCTCAGGGCGTCCCACCCGGCCAAGGGTGGTGAGAAGGTGAAGGCTTCTGGTGCTGGACAGCTCAGGTGATTGGCTTCTGCCCGCCACAGGACTGGCGGCAGCATCTGTTAACATAAGACAGGAAAACGTTTACGTCTCGGCATGCATCTCACCTTAAAGTACAAACAATTACAGAATATACTGTAAATTGAATTGACTGTATATTTTGTGGGCGAAACATGGCAGCCAATTGCGCACAGCAGTGTCCTACAAACAGTCGTGGATTGAGTGACAAATTTTTATTTTTTTGAAGGAAATATTATGTCCGAAAACCCCATTAAATGGGTTGTTAGCCCACCTCACAGTTTCGGCCACCTTTACTGCACAATTTCCATTGTTAGACTTACCCTAACTTACCAGAGGGGAGATAAGGAGAATTATTTTTTACGCAGAGAGTTGTTACGGTCTGGAATGCACTGCCTGAAAGGAGGGTGGAAACAGATTCAATAACAACTTTCAATAAGGAATTAGATAAGTACTTGAAAGGGAAAAATTAGCAAGAATATGGGGAAAGAGCGGGGAAAGGAACTGATTGGGTAGCTCTTCCAAAGAGCCGGCACAGGCATGATGGGCCGAATGGCCTCTTTCTGTGCTGTAATATTCTGATTCTATGATTCTGGAACAATTCAAGGCTAACAGCACTTTGCCACAATGTCCAAGAGAGTTGCCTTAAACTAAGGAGGTCGAATTGGTTCATTATTCCTCAATTTACAACTTAGAAACAACGCTGTCTCAAATAAGATGCAAGACAACCTCAGAAGCAATTTCTTTTAAAACATAATAATAATAATCCTTGCATTTGATATAGCGCTTTTCACGTCTTTTATGTATGTATTTTATTTTTTAATTCTTTTTATTTTATGTATTGTCTTTTAGACATACATACATGAGGACACAACACACCTTTTGTTTTCTTCTGATGTTCTGCCAAACATGGTTACACACCATGCATTCGAAGGCATCGATGTAGTTGTCCTGGGTGATATCCTGGACTCCCCACTTGCGTTCTCTCATCGCTGTCAGCAGGTCATCATTGGAGATTGTTCCTTTCCATTTCCACTCGAGGAAAGCCTCGTAGTCTCGATCGTCTCGATCCAATCGCATTATGTACTCAGCCAGATCTTTTGGGTGTGAAAAGTTCCTGACGAGTATTGCACTTCTATTGCTGGGAAGCCAATCGGCTATGTTTGAGGAGCCATAGTAGACCGGGACAACCCCCAGTTTCAAAGGCCTCCAGAACTTTTCGGTGATGTAATCATCACAGACCGCATTCTCAAAAGCAAGAATGAATTTGTACTGAGCCAGGATCTTGTGGAAGCCATCGTTATCCATGGTGGTGGGATCCCTGAGGTGTGCAGGAAGGTCCTTGTTGTGTAAACATTCTCCATAAGAGTCAACCTGGATATATTTCATCAGTTCCCGAATGTAGCTGTCCCGGTCTGACGGTGGGTCACAGTCTGACTGAACATACACCAATGGGGCCAGTTTGTCTCTCAAACGGTTCTTCTCGGACAGTGGGGTCAAGTACTGTTGCGATTTCAATGCCTCAATGCTCTCAAGATACTGGGTGGTCAAGGGCATGTGAGAATTACGACTGAACGTGGCTGTGTAATTAAACAGCGTAATGGTAGGCTCGTGGAAGAGTTTGTAATTATTTTTCGGGGACTCTTCATGGAAGAGGGCCCATTCATGTTGGGCTTGCCTGGGCAGTGGTAAGCTGTTTATAGGAAAGTCTGTGCCTGTTCGGAAAGGGAAAAAATAAAAAGCAAATAAAACATTCATTAAAAGTGTTTAAAGCCCTAATTTCAAACTAACCCCCAAACCCCCACCCTCCATCCACAAACATAGCACGAGTAGGGACAAAATTCATAGATTCAAATGACACAAAACTAACTTGTTTAAATTTCACCAACAAAATACACGCAGTCAAAACCACTTTAGCATATTCTGTGAAGTGCTTTAAGACGCCTCGATGATGTGATAAGGCGCTATATCAAATGTAAAGGTCATTTATTTATTCATTTATTATTGAATCAAACTGCTGTGAATTGGTTACTTTTCCAGGCAGTGAACAGATGGGACAAAAACAAGAGCTGTAGTCAGAAGGCTGCTGTCGCTTGATGGTGAGATCCTTATCGAAGAGAATCTGGGATTGTTCTCCTTAGAGCGGAGAAGGTTGAGGGGCGATTTAATAGAGGGGTTCAAAATTATGAGGCGATAGGGAGAAAATGTTTCCACTGGCAGGTGGGTCAGTAACCAGGGCACATAGATTTAAGATAATTGGCAAAAGAACCAGAGGGGAGATGAGCAGAATTTTTTTTACACAGGGAGTTGTTACAGTCTGGAATGCACTCCCTGAAGGGGTGGTGGAAACAGATTCAACAGCAACTTTCAAAAGGGAATTTGATAGGTTCTTGAAAAGGAAAAAATTGCAAGGATATGGGGAAAGAGCGCGGGTGTGTGACTGATTGAGTAGCTCTTCTAAAGAGCTGGCACAGGCACGATGGGCCAAATGGCCTCCTTCTGTGCTGAAATATTCTATGATTCTAAAAAGCAGCTGAATGTTTCATCTGGCATTTTTTGGTGACAGAATCATCAATTAGAATTAGTACACCAGGTATCATAATTTCCAGCAACAGCTTCTGAACACTGGAACAAACTTGCAGAAATCATATCCCAAATATTAGCAGTATCAATAACTCTCTGTGGCTTCAGCGTGGATTGACACGGATTGGTAGTAATGTGAAAAATTATTTCTCAAATGCTAAATTTAAACCACATAAAATTTGCAGTGTGCATAACGGAAAAAAAGATACATAAGAACATAAGAATTTGCTAGACAAAAGAAGACCGAGGTCCAACTAGTTCACTTTCCACCATCCTGGCAGTCGCTTGATAAGTCGTGTCCCAAACTATGTACTGTATCCTGAGATATTATTTTCTAATAGAAATCTATCCAATTTGTTCTTGAAACAAACCATATTTTCTGCTTCCATTGTCTACCTAGGGAGCCTGCTCCAAACCTTTACTACTCACTCCACCACAAGTTTTCTACACCATAAGTTTAATACCAGACAATAATTTCACTTCCCAGTAGACCAGTTTGGAGGAGTGATGGATACCTGAACTAAAAGTACAAAGCTATCAGGTGTACAATTCACATTTCAAGAGAACGATTGATTCCTTAATGTAAAAAGTAAACTACATGATATCAAAAGCTTCATTTGTAACACCACAAGTACTCCAGAGATCAGTAGTTTGGGGACAGGAGAGGAGTTACAAATACCAGATACACTAAATCTGTACAATCACTGTTTTATTAAATTAAAACATCTCAAAGCACTTTTCAAATAATTGTGGTTAAGAGCCAAGCAGGAGAGACTTAATCTAGCTACACAATCTGATTGGGGTCCCAAACCAGCACCTAATACTTTCCGGAATTAGGTAAGCAGGATGCGTCCATCAAGGGAGAAAGTGCGCATTCCATTCAGGCAATCTATCTCTGGGATTTCCATGTGTAGATGGGATGCATGGAATTCTCAGCTTGGTTTGGATACTCTTAAGCACAGTGATGGGTTTCCGCATGTGTCAGACACCCGGATGACCCCCCCCAAAAAAACTGATGTTTCACAGACAGTGACATGCGATCTTTAATTTCCTTCTCGACAGGCAGACGGACTCCCAGTTTAACATTATTTGAAAGACTGTTCCTCCTCCATACTAAACGACAACATTTTTAAACGACAGCATTTGGCACTCTCTCCTCTCCTTGACAATAGCAAATTAAGTCCTGTTCACATTAACTTTGATTTTGCACAAGCCTAAATTACACAGTTGTGTGTACGTAATTGCTATCTACGATTAGGGAATAACCTTCACTTTTCCATTTGTTGTAAATTAGTCTTGTTGGCATCAGGCTCGATTCCTCCCCCACCCCCGTCCCTCATTATACATCATCATCACAAACTATATTAACCAAATATGAAGTTCAACAGTCAACCCATTAAATACAATGATTCTGTGACCGGATACGTTTCCTGCCAGATTAACAAAGCAAAATACAATACATTTCGACAAACATAACAGCCCCACTAACAATTGGGGCGATGTTAAGGGGCCGATTCAGACGCTGTTAAGGCTTTGAATTAACACTAGCTATTTAACTTGGATTCAGAAATTAAACTGTTGTTTGGCTTCAGTTGTATCTCAGTTTATACTGCAGTCTCTTGGCAGGATGTTTCTACTGCTGGTCTCTTGTGTGCTAACTTTACATAAATAACCTGACTTACACATTCTCATTGGTTTGCAATTTCACATTGATTTTTTTTTGTTACCCATCACCATGCTTACAGAGTATCCAAACCAAGCTGAGATTTCCATGCATCCCACCTTCACTGGAAATCCCAGAGATAGATTGTTGGAATGGAATGTGCACTCTCTCCCTGGAGGGATGTATCCTACTTACCTAATTCCGGAAAGTATTAGTCGCAGGTTGGCAAGAGCCAAGGCTTGGGGAGCCCAGAGTGTGCGTTGGGGTAACTGCTGGAGTCTAACCAGCTAAAACCACATAACTTTCCATTGATATTGCTATCCAGCAAGCTTTCCCATTGAGAGAAGGTGCAGTGCTGCAAGTTCAAAGTGTTTGTTGTTCCAGTAAACATGGTACATTATTGGCTTTGTTTTAACACTAATACAGTTGCACTTAAAAACATAGAAACGGGAGAAGGCCATTCAGCCCCTCAAGCATGTTCCGTCATTCTATAAGATCATGGCTGATCTGTACCTCAAGTCCAATTACCACCCCCATACCCCACAGCCCAGCACCTTGGGATGTCCTCCCGATGTGAAAGGCGCTATACAAATGTCATTTTGTATTGTATTGTATTCCTTAACACCCTGACCCAATAAATAGCTAACCACTTCAGTCTTGACAATGTAAATGGATCCAACTATTATATTACCGATTTGTACTGTCGTTGGGGTGTTCAGAGCTTGACAACGCCTCCTCCAGCACATGAAGCAGTGCCGGATCACCAGTGAGAGCTCGTATGGTTAAAGATAATAATACCTGTTTTTGAAATTATGCCTTATCAAATCATGAAAACCTCACGAAAATGCTTTACTGTAAAATGTATTTCGTTCTGTATTTGGAGGTGAACACTGCAGGTAATTTGCATACAGCAATGTCCCACCAACAGCCACGAAGAGAATGACCATTTATATCTGGAGGATTGTTGGTCAGGACTCGGGGAGAGAAAAACTGCCTTCTCTTTTTGAATAGTGCCGGTTGATCTTTAATGTCCACCCGAGCATGCAGACGGGACCTCGGTTTAACGTCTCATCTGATGAACGGCAGCTCTGAAATATAAATAAACACCTAGCGACATTAAGTACAGATTATCAAAAGTCAGCTCCCCCAGCACTGCATTGGAATGCCAGTCTAAAATACAATGAGCTCAAAGTCCAACCATGGGGCTTGAACCCACAGTCTGACGCAGATATAAGAGTGCTACCAGTTGAGCCTACTGAACCACAACACTTAATACAATATATATTTATATAGTGCCTTTCACAGCGGGAGAATGCCCCAAAGCACATTCATAGTCCTGGATATTTCTATGTGATATTTCAGCACCTTGGCACGTCCTCCAAATGTGAAAGGTACTACAGTGTACAAATATAATTAGTTGAGGTTGTGGATGAGTACCCAAGCTGGGGTTAGCGGAAAGAGGACAGATGAGTCCTCCGTGGAGTCCTGTAGCTCAGTGGTTAGAGCACTCGCTTTGAAAGTGAGAGACCTGAGTTCAATTCCAGGCAGAGGGCGAAACCTTGGGCAAGTTTCCTTACTCCACACAGAGCCTAATAATAATCCCTCCAAAAAACCAAAAACAATAATAAATTGGTCATTTTCAATCTACGACTGTTTGTGGGACATTGCTGTGTGCAATTGGCTGCCACGTTCGCCCACAAATATACAGTCAATTCACTTTACAGTGTGTTCTGTGAAGCGCTTTGGGACGTCCTCCCAACGTGAAAAGCGCTATATCAAATGCAAGAATTATTATTATTATTATGACCGAAAGCGCAGTCAAGAAGATGCATTTTGAGATATGCTCTCAAAGAGGAGAAGTGGAGAAATAAGAACAACAAATTACATTTGTATAGCGTCTTTCATGTCAGGAAGATGCCCCAAGGCACTGGACAGTCAGGGTTCCGGACCCGAGCTGGTGGTTGGGATCAGGAAGGGTGGAGGGCAGGGAGGATACGGGTAGGAGGGTGACCGAAGGCACAGTCGAAGAGGACAGTCTTGAAACGAATCTTGAAAGAGGCAAGTGAATGGGCGAGGCAGAGAAACTATGGGATGGAGTTTCAGAGTGTGGGGACAGAGTGGTGAGACGGGTAAAGCAGGGGACATGAAACAGGCTGGAGCCCACTGAGTGGAGGGAACGGACAGACTGGTAGGGGGTTAGGAGGTCACAGAAGTAGGGAGGAGTGAGGTCATGGAGGGCTTTCCAGGTGAGGACCAAGATCTTGAACTGTATCCTCTGAGTAATTGGAAACCAGTAGAGTCGGGCGAGGATGGGGGTGATAGATTCCCGGAGCCTGGTGCGGAAGAGAACACGAACTGCAGAGTTCTGGATGATCTGCAGCCTGTGGAGGGAGGAGTTGGGGAGGCCGACAAGCAGGGAGTTTGTGTAGTCGAACCTGGATGTGATGAATGTGTAGATGAGCACTTAAG